TTCGACTTTCCGGGTGTACATATTTTTTGTATTTATCCCTAATTTTTGCCCGAACCCTTTTGGTTCGCCGGGATGCCCTTATTTTTTCCTGCGCTTGTCAACCTAGCGGGTCTTTTTCATGCGTAGTCTTTTCTGACTATGTCCATGTTCACCGGGTGTGGAGAATTATCATTGTCCTTAGTAGTAAGTGTTGTCACACTGGCAGAAGGTGTTTATTTGATCGTACATGATTCGTTGTTGGAATTCATGTCCAATGCCCTAAGTGATTCAGATGGAGATCTGCCCCTGACTATTTGACATTTTTGAGAGATTCCTTGAACCTTGACTTGACTGCCCCAGATCAACTGGAAATCATGTTATGCCCCCTGATTATGAAAGGCCTATCACTGAAATGTCTTTCCATCTGAGGTGATTCTATCTACTGAGAAGATTTCTGTTCATCGAATATCCGTCGTGCGAATCTCTCTGCTGTTGAACAAATAGTCATATGCAAATAATGGTATTTTAAGAATGCAAAGCTTATGTCTGTCTTGAAGTTTGAAAATTCATTTTTTAGTAAAATAAACATTTTTTGTAAAAGTGCGATGTCAGCTCAGGATTTATAGCGAACCCTACAGGAGTCAGGATACCTTTTGTCACAGTATGCTTTTGAACTAACCCATGCTTTAGCTAGGACTTTTAAGGGTTATAATGTGTCCTGGTTCACGGTTCAAGAAACAAAGGATAAAGGCTCAATTTTTATTTGTACCCAACCTGTTCTTCGTGATGTTCTTCGATCCTATGCTCAGCTAATTGTGTGTTCAGATCCCAATTGAGTCTGGCATCTTGTCCTTGATGTTCCGATGATGGTTCAGACACTGAAAGTTTATTTTGAAGAGGCGGCCATTTTTGTAATCTTCGTTTTGTCGAGGATTTGTAGTAGCCTCTTTTTTGGTTTTCGTTATCCTTCTTTTGCCTGAACTATTTCTTTTCTGATTACAGTCAGCGGGACGCCCCAGTTTTTTCTTAAGTCTCCTTAATAGGTTTTGACTTAGCGGGCTTTTCTTTTGAAAAATAATGACTGCCTGCTTTGATGATTATGTGGAACCATCACCATCTTTTGGAAGGTATCTTCTACACTATTTGTCATGTATGAAGGATGAGCTTGCGACTGAATGTGCATATGAATTAACTGAGAAAACTAACCTGCCCTAGGTTATAATTAAGGGTTTTAATTTGTGTGAAAAGAAGAAATCCTACTTCTTTGGCTCAAAGGGGTTGACCATGGATTATCTTCCTTATAACTCCATTGTTTAGGATTTTGAAACAATGCATGTACATCGTTAGCGGGGTCTGTTCAAAAGCATACTATAGAGATTGTGGTACCATTTTTGTCACCCTCCCTCTAAAGGCTTAGAGCTTTTGATCGAGAGTTAAATATCACAAAAAGGACAACAATTTAAATATAGTGAATACGAATGAATTGATTCAAAACAGAAATATGCAATGCATTGATAAACTAACAAATTTTGACATGAATAAATGTTCAAACAATCAAAAGAAAATTACAAACTGAAAATTCTAATAAACAGAAAGCCTTTTTGTATGAACTTGTCGCTTCAGGTGGTGTGTCTTTGAGGGACAGAAGAAGAATTCAGTTTGGCCATCTTGTGTGACCTCCAGCACTCCTTCGTTAATCAAGTCCTTAATCTTATTTTTCAATGCCCAACAGTCATTCGTATCATGTCCAGGACTATTAGAATGGTAGGCGCATATTGCATCAGGATTGTAGTTAGGGGAAGAAGTTTTAGGGTTTGTATGAGGATCCCTTAACATAATCAACTCCATCTTCAACATGTGCTGCAATACCTGAGCCAAGGACATGTTGATTTTGGTGAATTTCCTTTTTGGCTTATCTTGCCATTGTTGATTACCACGTTGTGATTGTATCAGTGCGGGAATAGAAGTCCGCATTACCCCCCCACAAATTAGTTGAGATTAATCTTATTGCGGTCCTTCTGGTCGTACACGGCATTGGACTCTTTCTTCCCATTGTATGGTCTCTTTTGCGTACTTGAAGGTGAAGTCCCTTGAATGTCACTGCTCCTAATTTTATTTTCAACATGCCCCCATATGAACAAATCACCCAATTCCCTATCTGCCAAGAGAGATTGATCCTTGATTAGGCTCCAAGCTCTAGCAGTTTTCCCCAGACTGTTGTATCTGTCCTGAAGAAGCTTGGTGATGAGGATCCTCAATTCTTCTTGTTCCCGAGCTAAAATTTGGATAAGGGCCATCTGACTACTCATCTGGATTCTTATCCTTTCCATTTCAGCTTGCAGTTGTTCCAACTGGTCATCCTTGTGGTTGTCAGGATGTTTCTTGGTCAAGTTCCCATTGAGGAGTGCTTTCATTCTTCCTGCCCCTTGGATAGGTTTAGGAACTTTTGCATGAACTGAGCCTCTTGAGTTTGGATATCTGTGCTATCTTGTTTGAGAGCCATTTCTGAAATAAACAACGAGAACATGAGAGACCTGTTATGAAACCTGCTTATGCAATGATATGTATTATCTCAGAAAACTCTCTAACCAATTGTATGTTAGTAGAACTCGATATGTATTATGCATGAACCCGATTTGACTAATTTCAAACTCTTTGTGTATTATCTCAGAAAACTCTCTAACCAATTGTATGTTAGTAGAACCAAATATGTATCATCAACATAAATTTGAACGAGAAGAATATGTTTTCCTTGACGTTTAATGAAAAGTGTTGCATCTACTTTCCCTCTAGAATATCCTTGATCAAGGAAGAATTTGTTAAGTCGCTCATACCAATCTCTAGGGGCTTGTCTGAGACCATACAAAGCACATTTTAGTTTAAAGACATGATTAAGACACTCATGGTTTTCAAAACCATAAGGTTTGGAACACACATCACTTCATTAATGTAACCGTTAAGGAAAACACTTTTCCCGTCCATTTGAAATAACTTAAAATTTTTGCAACATGCAAATGCTAATAAAAGGCGTATAGCCTCGAGGCGGGCAACCAGAAAATAAGTTTCCTCATAGTTTATGCCCTACTCTTGGATATATCCTTGAGCCAGTATTTGGGCTTTGTTCCTTCTAATTTGTTTCTAAAAACCCACTTAGTTCCAATAACTTGATGATCTCGTGGAGGGGCGACGAGGTCCCATACGTCATTTCTTTTAAATTGATTTAACTCATATTGCATGCCCATAAGCCAATGCTCATCAAGTAGGGCCTATTTAGCGTTTTTAGGTTCAATTTGTGACACAAATGCAAAGTAATAATAAAAATTACTTATCTTGGAGCACATAGTTACGCCTTTGGTGATATCTCTGAGAATGTTATCCATTCGATGGTCCTTTTAAGACCTCCAGGCCAAGGGTAGATCATCCACTTTATTTGTATTCTCATCCTTCTTCTTTTCAGGACCATCATCTTCCTCCCCCTTAGGTTTCACCATTTCAGGTTGATCAATTTCCTCTTCAGTGTCTTTGAGTATGTTTTCTGAAGATATATCAACATCATGAAAACAAAATACCTTTTTCGACATTCTTTGGACAAGATTCATCAAAAGTAACGTGTACAGACTCTAAAACAATAAGTAACCTCTTATTGTAAACTCTATAGGATTTACTTGATTGGGAGTATCCAAGGAAGATGCCTCCATCCGATTTTTCATGAAATTTCCCAAGGTTGTCTTTACCGTTATTTAAAATAAAACATTTACATCCGAAGGCATGAAGATGTGATAAATTTGGCTACCTACCTTTTAAAAGTTCATAAGGAGTTTTGTTTAAACAAGACGTATAAGTATCATATTTAAAATATAACAAGTCGTGCTAATCACATAAGCCCAAAAATGTTTTAGGAGACCACCTTCATTGATCATAGTTCTTGCCAACTCTTCTAAAACACGATTTTTTATGCTCCCGAACACCATTTTGTTGTGGAGTTCTAGGAGAGGAAAAATTATGTTCAATGCCATGTTTATCATAATAATCCTTAAAGAGATGGTTTTCTAATTCACCTCCATGATCGCTTCGAATATCAACTATTTTTAGATTCATTTTATTTTGAGACTACCTTACAAAACTAGAGAAAGCTGAAAAGGTTTCAACTGTACTACACAAAAAGATGGTCCAACAAAATCTATAGTAATCATCTACAATAACAAAATCATAGTAATTACCACCTAATCTTTTGGTCCTTGATGGACTAAAGAGATCCATATGGAGAAGCTCAAGAGGTCTAGAAGTTGAAACTATGTTTTTAGATTTAAAAGAGAGTCTTGTATGCTTAACTATTTGGCATGCATCACATAGGTGATTTCCATACCCCAAATTTGTCTTACCCTCTTCCAAATCTTATGGCTTGGGCATTTCATTCTCTTCATATGCATTACTTCTATTAGGTCATTTAATTCATCATGCATCATTAATCAATAAACTTGGCAGGGATCATGGATATTGAAGATTACGGTTTTCTGCATGGTCTGAGTTGGGTGTATCAATTAAGCCTGATTCAAGTGTTGTTTATATTTGAGAAAGGAAGGGAATTAGGGTTTGGATTCTCCTCAACTTATAAGACTATCTTTCCCTCAACATTCATTAAGAACAATGGATTTAGGGCTGGGTCATTCATCTGAGGATTTCTTTGAGGCTTGTGAATCAAGTTGTATCTTCTTATGGTTATACTTACTAAGTGGTCAATACTTGGTGCATTGAACTTTCATTAATTCAAGGTGTGTGGATCAAAATCTTTATGCAAGAAAAAGATTTAAGTAACATTCGTCTATCATCCATCAAACTAGGGTTTCTTTCTTAATTCTTCCATCAATGGTTGCTTCAAATATAAGGCAATGTGGAGATAAGAAAATGCATTAAACTTTTATTCCTATTACAAAAACAAAATATAATTAAGGCATGTTATCCCTTGTTCCCGTCCATATAAAGAGATTAATTACATTTGAACTTGTTTCCAAAATCAATTATTACAAATTTATTCCTTTAAGAAACAAAGTGCTAAAAACATCCATTACATGTTTATCAAGAACAATTCCAACTTCAATTCCACCTCTTCGATCTTTGCTCTCTGCCAAACCAATTGTCAAACCTCTATCAATCGACACTATCTCCACTTTTTTCGGCCTTCCCCAACCAAAATCACTTTCATAAACTTCAAATCTATTAGACCCAGCCACTCCAATTATTTCATATCCTTCATTCATCATACTTTTAAATTTATTAGGCTCATCCTTAGCTCCTTCAAGAACATCATTTTCATTTATCATCTTTATTTTCTCATGAATACAGTTTGCAACCAAAAACACTCCATCTTCATCTATGAAATCCGATGGTTGTGTATTAACCAAAAGTCCCAAAACACAGTTACCAAAATAGTTATTTGGTATTGGTGGTTCTAACCTTGCTCTACAATCTATTGTGAACAAAAAAGCAAACTTCTCTTTTTCATTTTGAATTTCTTGAATCGCTTTTGCAACACAAACGAGTGAATAAGCACAAGTTAGAACAAAAGATGATAAGCTCTCCGGCTTTGATTCTTTTGTATTGAATAACTCCCATTTGGATAACACGGATTCCTTTATCTTATTCAAATCTTCGCGCTTGAGCTCAAACGTAGCTCGAACATAGTCTTCAAGTTTTGGTTCAAAAGGGAAAATCTTCAAGCTTTTTTCGTTTCCTTTTTCATTTGGGAACATCTTAGAGATAACGTTAACCCAGTTGTTAGTGAGTGTATCACTAAGTCCATCTCGATCTTTAATGATTTCTCTATCGAGTAAAGGTTCTAACTCTGGTAATAAAATCGGGGATTCTTCGGTTTCGATGATATTTTTGCATAGATAAGCCCAAGCTTTAATGAACATGGTTGAAGATTTTCCATCTAGAACAGCATGGTGTGTGCTTATTCCAATGGAAAAACCTTGTTTTGGAAAAAGGGTTATTTGAATGGAAACTATTGAAGCAAAGAGATCGGTTGATTCCAAAACCGGTATAAAAGAGCGAGACAAAGAAACTTCTTTTGGTGAATTTTGAATGAGATGATTGAAATCCAAATCAGATTCTGCAATGAGTAAGGAAACTCCATGATCATCATCATTGGGATTGAAATGGATGAACGGTTTAGAAGAATCTAAAGGCCAAATGATTTTACCAGCTAGAGGGAGAAAATGTTGGAGGGTTAAAGAGAGTGAAGATTTGAGATTTGGAACAATTATTTGAAAGAAGAAAGAGGGGGATGATTGGGAAGAAGGGAGGGTGTAGAAGAAAAGTCTTTCTACTGGGTGAAACCTTAGCCAACATATGTCTAGAAACGTGAGAGGAATCGTTGTTGTTGTTGTTGTTTGGGTTGATAATGATGGAGGAACAACTTTTAAGGTTTCATGGATTTTAATGTTGTTGTTGTTGTTGGAAGCCATTGAAGTAGAGGAAGTGTTGTTTGAATAAATTTGTTGGGTATGAAAAAGAATAGTAGAGAGAAACTTTATACACTACAAAAAAGAAGCTTAGTTGCCACGTGAAAATCACGTGGCAAACATCAAAATCACGTGGCAAGGCAAAATTAGCGACGTGGTGAGTTATGTCGCTGGGGAGTAAGTGGCAAGCAAGTAGCGACGTGATTCCCACGTCACAAAGTTGTGACGTGGTATTCACGTCGCTACATATTTGTTAATGGCAGTTTATTAGCGACGTGAGAATCATGTCACTAATTTGTGACATGATTCCCACGTCGCTACAGGGGACGTTTATATTTTTTAAAAAATTGTTAATAATTATTTTTTATATTAATTCATTAATGTAATAAAATTTAAATAATAAAATTTATATAATAAAATTTAAATAATAAAATTTATATAATAAAATTTATATATTAAAATTTATATAATAAATTTTATATAATAAAATTTATATATTAAAATTATTAGAATAATAGTATTTTATTTTATATTTCGAATAATAGAATTTTATAAAATAAATTCACATAATTAAATGTTATATAATTTATTAATTTAAAATGATAAAAATAAATATATCTTACATAAATGCAAATATAAAAACGAAATAAAAAAAATGTTTTCACGGGGCATCTTGACCCGGAAAATTATCAAGATCAAAGTCATCAAGTCCGTCATCATCCGGCTGTGTATGATCAGGAACATTTTGATTTCGACCGCCTTGCATAAACTGTCTCATCTGCTCCTCCATATCAGATTGCCGCTTCCGCGTGATCTCTAACTGACGCTCCTGCTCTTGCCTCATTGTCGTCATTTGGGCCTCCATTTCGCGTCTCACTTCACTGGCCGCCAATTGTCGTACTGTTTCAAGTTGAACCTGAGTCAGATTGGGTTGACGTGACCCCCCTTCTCCATCTCTAAGTCTTTGAAACAGATTACGATCACCAACTCTCAAGCCGGCGGCCAAATTTCCTCCCGCAAAAAAGCAACCATTAGGCCCTTTTCCATTAACAACCTCATTCCAAATATAGAAATCAACATCCCCATTAAGCGGCTCCCCCTCTGCTGGCCTATATTGCGGATTGTGTTCTAGAAAACGTGCTAGCAATGTCTGATAATCATCCTACACATACATTAAATAATACAATTAAAAAAAAATTAAAACATTTATATATTAAATTATACTAAATTCAAATATATTAAAAATTTGTCACGTGATTTTCACAAATCAACTTATGAATTGCCACGTGAGTTTCCCGTGGCAATGTATCAGTTGCCATATGAAAATCAGTCACCTGGCAATTTATCAGTTGCCACATGATAATCACGCCACAACTTATAGATTGCCACGTGGAAATAACGTCACTATTTTTGTTATTAACTTAAAAAAAAAACATAAGTTTAATTACTTACAAAAGCTTTCTGGGTGCGGTCGTCGACAAAACCTCCCGATTTTTTTGTCCGAGTCCTCGTAATCAACTCAATGATCAACGGTGGTCTCCCCATCTCCTTAGTCTAAACAATAAAGTTAAAAATAATTAGTAAAAAATATTATGAATAAAAATATATATAACTTAAAAAATTAGTAATATTTACCATCCGCCGGACATGCTCTGCAGTGCTAATACTTCCAACAGTATTGACACATCCCCCCTTTTCGGATGCCCTCATCTTCTTAAAATTTTCGGATTTGGCCTTGAATTCTGGCGAACTCCAATATGTACGAAGTTCGCCAAAAACCTCTACGCCTATCCAGTTAGGACGGATACCATGCAGCTCATAATTCTCCCTAACCCGCCGCATGATATCAGAAAATCTTCTAGAAGTTCTGCTATAATATATTTTTTCCATTATTTTCTCATTCAACGGATCCCACACACATTTTTCCTGCAATGTTGTATGACATTAAAATAAAAAGTTAAGCAATTATCATTAAAATGTGACTTAAATAACAATACTAAAAAAATATAATAAATTTACAACTTAAATAAATAACAATACCTTAAATTTTTTAAACCATTCTTCTTTATTTGTAACCTCGCCAAAGTTCTTCCAAGAGGATTTATACATCTGCTGGATTATATAATTAATAACCTTGGCAGCCGTCTGACTCGGCGCGAAACTAAACAACAAGATTTTGAATAAACAATATTAATTATAAATTTATACAAAATATTAAAATGAATATGTACTTAAATAAAAGTTTATATAAGAAACTTACTTGCTTCCTTCGGGCCAAATCCAAAACCTCTCGTCAATTACATGAATCTCACTCGGATCATCTGATCTCTCATGAATATCAGCTCCATCTATATCATCAGCTACGACATCTGCATCACCGCCAGCCTGTGTAGGACGTGGGGTGCTGGATCCTGCAGCCTGTGTGGGATGAGGGGTGCGTGACCCTCCGGTCCGTCTAGGACGTGGGGCGCGGGATCCTGCAGCCTGTGCCGGACGTGGACTGCTGGGTCCTCCAATGTGTGTGGAGTGTGGGGTGCTGGACCCTCCCGCCTGCTGGAAGGATGAATACATCTGTGTGGGTCCCCCTGTCTGCTGGAATGATGAAGGCACGCCAGTCTGTATAAATGGAAAACTGGGTCCTCCCCCCGTCTGCTGGAATGATGAGGGGACACCAGTCTGCTGGAAAGATGAAGGCACCTGGGTCGGTGGGAAAGGGAAACTAGATCCTCCCGCATGCTGGAAGGAAGATGGCATCTGAGTCTGTGGGAAAGGAACACTAGATCCTCCCGCCTGCTGGAAGGATGACGGCATCTGGGTCGGTGGGAAAGGGAAACTAGATCCTGCTGCATGCTGGAAGGAAGACGGCATCTGAGTCTGTGGGAAAAGGAAACCGGGGCCTCCAGGTGGCACAAAAGATGCAGGTACCCCAGACGGGAATGTATGGGAGGAGAGTAATGGGACAAAACCCTGAGTACTGGCCAGGGACATATGATCAACCTGACTCTGAGGGGGTGGGCACATGGCTGAGTGAGGAGACTCACATGTTACTACCCTCGGACGCTGAGACTTCTTACCGGTATCCTTATTCTTCGGTGCCATTTTACCTAGTTATATATATTTTCATAAACAAAGATAATAAAGTCATTGACATAAATATATATTCATTGACAAATTCAATATATACATGTTCAATAGATATTCATTAATATTACATTAAGTGATTAATTAATCTAAATCTTCATGCTCGTTATCCATATCATGTTCATCATCCGATGTAATATTGTCCTCGGATTCAAACTCTTCATCATTGTCTTCATCCACATTATTATCAACCAACAATATAGACGCATCAATTTGATGAATACCATGTAATTTTCCAGTGTTAGGGTCAGCACACCTTGCTAAATTTGATGAATACCCATCGGGCATTCTCAATTCTTTTAACCATCTACAAACCGCTTTAGCTTCTTGGGAAGTCATACTGAAACAAGCCTTGGGTTTTAATAATTTTCCATTCGGTTGAGGCTTCAACTCCAACTCTCTTCGATTACACCAAATTCCCATGTCTTGTCTGGCCTTCTCATTATCTTTTGTTTTTCCTGTCACATCCATCACTGTGTTAAATACATTATCAAAAAAATTCTTCTCAATATGCATAACATCAAGATTATGGCGCAACAAATTATCTTTCCAATACGGAAGATCCCAAAATATACTTCTTTTTGTCCAATTGTGGGTGACGCCGTATCCTTCAATTCGGCATGCTTTCCCAGTATCTGTAAATTTTGGTAGTTCACATACTTGGTTCCATATAACCCCTGGTGGCAATCGAGGCGGAGGCAAATTTTCTCTCGTACATCTTTTTTAAAATTTGTCTTGTTTCTTCTATACGGGTGATTTGCTGGTAGGAATCTGCGGTGACAGTCAAACCATGAGCTTTTCCCACCTTTATCCAACGTAAATGCTTTGGTGTATCCCATGCAATGCGGACAACCCATTTTTCCATGCGTACCCCAACCAGACAACATGCCATATGCTGGAAAGTCATTAACGGTCCACATCAAGGCAGCTCGTAATGTGAAGTTCTGTTTACGGGATATATCATAAGTCCATTCTCCAATCCACATCTTCTTCAAATCATCAATTAAAGGTTGTAAGTACACATCAATTCCGGCTTTTGGACTGTGCGGGCCTGGAATAACACACGTCAAAAACATGTATGGTTTTGTCATGCACATCTCAGGAGGGAGGTTGTAAGGTGTTACAATAACTGGCCAACAAGAGTACGCACTTCCTGACGCTTGCACGTATGGGGCAAATCCATCAGAGCATAATCCAAGCCTGACATTTCTAGGTTCTGCAGCAAAATCTGGATGTGTCCGATCAAAGTGCTTCCACGCCTCACCATCAGATGGATGTCGCATAGTGCCAGAACTTGTTTGGTTTGTATGATGCCATGTCATTTGACTTGCACTGTGCATTGAAGCAAACATTCTTTTTAACCTTGGTATTATAGGAAGATAAAACATGGATTTTACTGCTACACGCTTTTGCTTGTTGTTAACGGCTCTACTGCGAACTTGATATCTTGGACTATTACAAAACTTACACTCCTCTAACGATCCATCTTGAGTACCAAACTCATTATCATAAAACAACATGCAACCGTTAATGCAACAGTCAATCTTTCTTACTTTTAAACCCAACTTCGACACCCACTTCTTTGCATCATAATAACTTGTAGGCAAATTGTCTTTCGTAGCGGTGGAGTCCAACATCATTTTTGCAAAATGTTCCAAACATTGATCAGAAACATTCCAATTTGACTTGGCAGCCAATAATCTCACACACATTGATAGCTTCGAGTCTGACGACCCCTCAAACAACGGCGTATTCATCTCGTTCAATAATTGATAAAATCTTTGCGCTTCCTCATTCGGCAACTCTTCCCCGTCAAAATCTTCAGGTTCATCATATGTCACGTTCACACCAAAAGCATCCTC